TATTTTCTGTTTAATCTGTAAGACTTAAATTTCATTAATTATTATTTTTATTTTATTATTTTACCGTCTAGATACCATGGGAAAAACACATCTTGCTCATTGCTACTGTCAATCAAGGGATAATCTAAAACCTGTAAATATAATTCAGGACCAAACACTTTTCTGTTCTGGGCTTTACAAAGAGTTTCTTTTCCCTTTGTTTGACACAGCCCTGTGATATCTTACTACTATTACCCTGATGGTAATCCAGTTTTGTTTTGTTTTGTTTTTTCCAAAGCTTATCAACGCTCCGGCCATCAGGGACAGCATACAGCAACCGCAGCAACTGCACCGGAATGTGGAAATACAGGATGTGGAATATGAGTCGCCTGCAAACAGTGCACCAACAAAAGGCTTGGTATGTTTATACACATTCAGAAAGACCACTTTAGGTATTGGGCTGGGGACTTGGAGTATCACTTTGGGGGGGATAAAGGCTTTATAGTCAGTGTTCAGTTAAACAAGACTATTTGAAGTTCAAACAGAAGGTTAAAGGTGTGTTAGTTTCAAGGTTAAGATCATGTTAGACGATGAGGGGATGTAATAGGAATTACTAACATGCTGATAGGTGTTTGCACTCTTTGTCATTTTGGAAATATTCTTACTGGCTTTGTTGCTTTTCTTGAGTAGCATGACCTGGCTGATATATTCATGTCTTTAGGGTACAATTAAATTACTGTAGTCAGTTGTCAAATATACATGGGGAAATAAAATCTGCCCTTAAACATCTCTACTCACCAATTAACAGGTTACATCTTATTCCTTTCTTTTTTATTCAGAATGTGTTGGGGAATATATGTGAAGAGTTTAAAGAAACATTTCCTAACATCTTCATATTACAAAACCAACAGTGTAAATAATATGGATGTTTTTAAAGGTCTTATCTCATAAATTAAACCCTAATTTTCATATTTTTAAAGTCTGAACTGTGAACCATGATTACAGAAGCCTTGAATGCCTTTCAAACAACTTTTTCAGATTTTATTCCCAAAGAAATATGTTTAGTGTGACAATATATCATTTAACATAAAAAAGTATGTTGAATTGCTGTAATAAATGTTGCTTTGGATGTGAAGCCATAACCGACAGCACCCAAACTGACCCAACCTCCTAGTGCTCCTTGGCTTTTATACCAGGCTATAAAAAGAACACAGCGGGCCAATTATTAACTCCTGTAACCCTACACTACACACCCTCCCAAACAAGCACATACACACAATGATGTTGAAATAATGGGTGGGGCTCAGTACCCAGTGAGATGACAAGGCTGAAAAAGAACCTTTGTGGATGTAAATAAGTGATACGAACACAACTTTTATCATAAAATTTAAATTAAAACATCCCAATAATGTTACCATTACTGGCATTAGTGGCACTCATTGTCCCTTTTTTAATCCTGTAACACATTTTTTATCTTTAAGAGGAAGGACGTTGATTCTGTGATTAAATACAAAATAAATAAAATATTTTATTTCACAGCTACACAGACTACGATCAGTGCCTTTGGTAAACATAAGGTTCGCAAAGATGTGTATGCTCAGTAGTTTAGCAGAAGCAGAAAGGAAGTAAAGTGTGTTGGACATGTGAGTTTTGTCCTGTTTTCAACAAATTCAGTGAAAAACCAATGAAGAATTTCCCTATCTTGTCACATGTTTTATCTTAAGTGTATCTAAAATATGATATATTATATATCATCTGTGCCAAGGACCAAAACTAAAACTATAATAACTACATGAAAGACTAACTAGGTTATAGTATGTGATATATTGTAATGAAAAACAGCTACTAAAGAGGAAGCTTTCATTCAAATTTCAACCACTGCTGGTTTTGGTCTTCTTCATTAAAATTTACTAAAAATAATAAACATATAGAATATTGCGAGTTTTAACCTTTAATTATTTTCAAAATATATGTGAAAATTAGGATAATTAACTTCAACCAAATAGCACCTTCAGCCAGAGGGAGATGAC